CGAGAATCATCCACCAAAGTATTCAGGGATAGGGTGGAAATGACACGTAACTAACGTGTGATCAACGGCTGGCAAGTCTTCGCCTTCTCAAATGTGCGAGACCCGTCATTACCAAGCATAGGGATACCCCCTTTATCTACTATCTCCCGAAGAACTTCCGCCTCGAATACAGTCGGAGTAGGGGCAAACTTTAGGAACCTCTCAAAAAAGAAACAGAGCAGGAACTGACTGTAGACGAAAGAGATAAACTTATACCGACCCACAGAACGTACCATGTCTCGATGTAGCAAATCCAATTGGCAATACTGGTTCCCAAAAAATAGTGGGGCTAAGGGGATCTGATCCCCTTTAAAGAATTTAACTGCCAGTGGGAAGACAAAAGGATTGAAAGAATCTGGAGGTGTGCTCAGAAGAATGAAGAAGGAGAGAAAGCAAGCCAAAAATCCCAGAAAATAAAGCCTGGAACCATACATTGGGCCGACCTCATACTCTTAAGAATCAGGGTCAGTATCTCTAGCCAGGGCGTAAAGATCTCTGAAGAAGTGGCAGATCCATGCGGTGTAACAGGCACGGTCCGTCCTCACTCGTTTGGTCCTCCTTGTTGAACCATGAAATACAAAGCTCCACCGACCACAAGCTTGAAGATTTTGTTTTAGGGATTAGATTAGAGAATCATCCTCAGGGGGTATTCGCTCAGGGCAGAAGGCCTCAAGGCCAGTTACTTTTAAGCGCAACAACATGAACACATCCTCCAGGGTGGGCCCCATGCTGGCTAAGTATGAAAGTGTGTGTTTCGGTGCTCCAGTAGAGAGCCATGGCTTCAAGGCTAGCATTGTTGCGGCAAATGGATAAAGATCGAGATATTTTCACTGGAATCAATAGTCAGGCCTCCTAAAGCCTCTGACTGAGGCCCTTGTTCAAGAGGACATCATCGACCCATTCTGGCCAACCAAAGGGAGGGTTGGAGAAAGCCTTGAACTAGGGACAACAGTAAGGAAAATCCCCTCGTTCAACCCTAAAGCGTAGCACTGAAGAAGGGGAAATAAGGGCCCCATGTTTGAAATCAATATCCTCAGAAAGACACAATAGAGCACCCTTCGAAGATGGAAGAGAAGCGGTGGAGGTAGCTGCTCGTCAGAACGGGTTCTTTTGGCCAAAATAAGGAGATTTTCTCCACTCGGACGTCGAAGGCACATTCCTCTCTTTCATGAGAGCCGGTTTTGATGGCCCCGGAAAGACGAATTTCTTTCAAGAAGACATATATAGCTGAAACAACAAGGAGTTGACCGTATCAAATGCAGAATATCGAAATTGAAGCAACACAAATTAATAGGAATTCAAATGGAATTTCGGCATCAACTGTTTATTTCTCGGGGTATCCACAAGCCTAACGAATAACCATATATGGCCCTAAGAGTTATTATGATGTCATTATCTCAAGTAAAACGTCCATGGGGTATTAGACGTTCTATTTATACCAATTTCAGCAATATAGGTTCAAGATTCAATGACAGGGGTTCAATAAATACATAAGCAGTAAATCCTCAACATCCTCAAGTTCAACCAATTGCAGTATCAATGTGTGTATCATCAACATATAGATTTCAAGTTTCTGTCATCAACAAGAGTGCAATGCCATCGGTAGTTTTGTAATGGAATTCAAGCGGGACATTTTCTCAAATTATAGTATTTCATTACAAGAATGTTCCTCTCAAGTCAATGTTCATAGCCCAGAATTTATTTGGCAAGTTTCAATTCAGAAAAATCATTTAAACAAATCTCACAGCATATTTCAAAATTACAAAGCCCGAACAAGTGTTGGTTCATCCAGATTCATAGATTAAGAAATTCTTTGAGAAATCCAATGTTTAAAAAAAATAATAATAATTCAGCAGCTCAACGACCTCCAATATTGTGTAAAATTCATGTTTACGGCAACAAATCCAGAATCAAGGGGCCATTTCCTCAAGATAGCAAATAAATAAAAAAATTCACTCTCAAGCTCTACAAATTTCAACATCAGTGGGAGCCACAACATCAAAGTTCTATTCAAGCTCCTTAGTGGAGTTTCAAATCACAAGCATCAAGGCCCAGTAAATCAAGATTCCTAAGCTAAAAAAAAAAATTTATCAGAATAAGAGATTTTGAAAAGGGTTTTCACAAAAGGCTTGCTCACAGATCAACAAAGATTATCCAGTTGATTGAAAGTAAAAAAAAAATCAAAAAATATATATATACCCACAGACTTGCAAGCAGCAAAAGAAAGAAATGAAGAATAATGCAAACTGAAGCTGAATGGTTCTAGGCAAGACCACACACGTCGCGTGAGTGGGCAAACATGCGTGGTCGGCGTTGGACGATCGAGGCCGGAAGCAGCGGTGGTGCCATAGAGGAGTTGGCGACCACACATGACACGTTGAGTGGGCGACGTGTGTGGTTGGCACTAGAGCAAATGTCAAGGCCGGCGGCGAGGTTGCAGCAGAGAGGCTGACAGTGGGTTGGCGGCGATGTTGTAGCGGAGAGAAGCCAACGGTGAGCAGCGCTAGGCAGTCAAGGCCGGCAATAGCATTGACGTTGGAGCTAGGCAATCGAGGCCAGTAGTAGCAGTGACATCGCAGAGGAATCGGTGTTGGTGTGTCTTAACTCGACGGTTGCTGATGTTGTCGCGATACCAATGGTAGCCGAGGCTGTGGCTGTCAACGGTGTGCAAGGTGGCATTTTGAAAAGCGGTTGCGGTCGCTGTAACGGTGGCGGTGCCGCGGTTGCAGTTGCGGGGTGTAAAGGCCGTAACGTAACGGTTGCGGTAACCGGAACCGTGAATTTTTTTATTTTTCGCACAATTTGAAAAAAACTTACCAATACGCATATTTTTTTTCCATAATCATATTTATTGGGTTTTAAAATAAATATTGATCAATTTTTATAAATTTTTAAGTATGATTCAATATATTTCATATTTTTAAATCATTATAAACTAAAAAAAAAAAAAGCGGTGATGCCTTGATATTCCTTCAAATATTCTAAGTATATATATATATGTAGAAAGGGCCAAGCAAGATATCAATTTCAAGAAAGGAAAGTTGGAATCAAAATAATGAATAGAAGTGGCGTGGGCCCAAGCAAAATAAATTTTAGACCAAAAAATTTGTGGGCCTTTATCCTTTTCAAGAATAGATGGACCTTCGGATGTTCTAGAAGAATTAGAAGATTTGGGATCATGCAAACTTTTAAAAGATTTGAAGAATCAAGATTGGCTTTTGAAGAAAAAATAGTGGCACAATTATAAAGTGCATTTGCCAAACATGGCATAAGATTAAACGATTTCTTTTATTAATTGTGAATCTTATCCATAAGTTACGGTGAGCCATCAACCTTATCCATAGGCCATACAAGCAAGACGCGCTTAAGAGAGTGAAGCAAAAAAATAGCCAAGGAGGAAAGGATGTGTATGTCCAAGAAAACTAAAATTTCCCATGCATGTAAGGGACAAAATGTAAGAGGAGTTAACTTGAGCCCACTAAATTAATTAGGCTCAATCAGAAAGTCCAAGATTTGTGGGCCCGAATTTATTGGCATCAAACGGGCGGAATCGCTCTAAGCCTCGAAAGGGTTTGGATCCACAAACTTAGAGACATACTCGGGCTCGGGCTCGAACTCGAAAGGGTATTGAGCAAGCCTAGAGATCCGAGGCACTTAGGCTTTGAACAGATTCGATCGCAATCTAGAGGCCGCTCCATTGGTGAGTCCCAGAACATTTGCGGACTTGGAACATTCCGGGATCAACCCACCAGAATCACGAGTAAGGTTAGAGCCCGAACAAAGGGCCCAAATCCCGAGGACGAAGGGTGGAGATGAATTCACTCATAGGTTAATTTAGCCTATACCTAGGACGAGGTGGCACGACCCCGGGGGGTCCATGAGACTCAACAGTATGGCAGGGTGTCCTCTTGGACTATCCCTGATCCTTTGGGATGATTAGGGATCATTGGTTAAGTATGGCTAAAAAGAAGGGTTCGCTGAGAGGTTGATCTCCTCTTCGAGGTTTTTCTCATCCTCGGAGAGGTCACCTTCTCGGACAAGATAATTAGAGAAAATATTCTCCATGTGCCTTGCATATGGGCTCCATCCTACATCATGAGGTGCCTATAAGCAACAGCCATTCATAGCTTTACAAAGGATAGATTTTGGAGATACAACTTTAGGGAAATAACTAATTTCCTTTCTCCATTATCTACCTTGAGAGTGAAAGTGAGAGATCTATGGGAGAGCCTTACTATTATTCTCTCTCTAACTACTTTACCTTCTTCTTTACCTAATCTTTTATCTGCATCATCTCTTTACTTTTGTGTTCTTAGTTGTGACTCTCATCATTTCTAGAGAATTCGAATTTTCTTTGAAGATCTTCGAAGATCGTTGAATTTTTCAACAACATTCTTGAATCCTCTCATACATAAGGAAGATAATTTAACTTCACAAATTTGCTTTCCTGAATTCTGTATTCCTTGTCTTGCAGAAACTATGAAGTGCAAAAACTATGAAATCATCCAAGCCACAAATCTACGCAGTATTAGATCAAGCATAAAAGTAAGACTTGATGTTGCAAAAACAAATCTATCTCAATCCATCAAAATCATTCATAACCCACTTTGTTCTCGCTATTGTGTAGATTTCTATAGCATAATCAGAAATCACGGAAAAAAAAAAAAAAAAAATGCTCTCATGCAAACTCTAGGAGTTTGTTTGCTAACAGCCAATTCAACATATAAACTCCAATTTTCACCAAAAACCACAACAGTTCGACTAAACTAGCCTAAATCAACTCGCATCAAGCAACGCAGACGATTTGAAAATCTCACAAAGAACTGAACGTGTCATCTCTTTAATTTTCCCCCTCCCTCCAATGCTTAAACCCTGAATTCGAGTCCGATTCAACTCGGAAACACCAAATAGATTCGAGAAACGACAAAATTCCGGCGAGAAGATCAAGAAGAAATTCGTACCTTTATTGCCATCCACAGAAAATGAAGGTGAGGAAGTAGCAGAGGAAACCTGACAGGAGATTTGTCGCCGGATCGCCTGAAGATTGGCCGGAGAAGGTACGGAGACGCCGGAGAAGGTGAGAGATTGCCGAAAGTATGGAGGGAAAGAGAGGAAGGGTGGGAAGCGAGGTTGATTCCGACGATCTAACAGAGGAGGAAAAGTGAGAGTGAGAAAAAATGGCGGCCATGGCTTTCCGGGTGTGTGTGTGTGTGTGTGTGAAGTGGCTTTTGGACTGTGTTTGGAGGCCCTTTATATATCAACTTTTGGAAGCCTTATAGTACATTGGTGAGAAAGACAGATTATCATTTTAGAATTTTTTTTTAATAATCCTTTTACTTTGTTTATTTCCACTTTCTTTCTATTCTCACAAACTCCTATTAAGTTGTTGCCCTTCGCCCGGCAATTTGCTCAAAATTAGACGGTGTTAGAAAAGTGGTTAAAACGTCACCGGAGATTGACTACGATGCAAACAAATGAATGCGTAGGTAGATAAGTGAATAAATAAATAGATTAAATAAAATATAAAAAAAATTGGGGCAATTGCTCCAAAAGTTTGAAATTTAAACTTATGGCCCAGGGGCCATTATTATTTCTGGGTAAATTGTATTTTTTTAATTCGTATAAATTACATTTTTTTAGATCGATTTAATAATTATAATTTATTCAATTTATTGTGTTTGTCATAAAAAAAAATAGATGATCTATTTTTAAAACACATTTGTCGTTTATTTTTTAAGACACAAATGTAATAAATTGAATAAAGTACAATTAATATATTATAATTATCAGATCGATCTAATTTTGTATGTGAATAATATACGCGAACTATTCTACAAAATGAACAAGTTGAATTGAAATAGGATCTGTGATAGATTTCACCGATCTGAACAATGTCATCCCATCCATATTATGTACGGGATGCAATCAACCTACATAAAACTATTCTTGAGGAGTTGAACTTGAAACAATAACACATGTTTTAGTAAATCACACTGATCTATCCTAAGGTTCAAAAAAATACAAAAAATTTCATAATGTTAATATAATTAAATTTGGTTTCTTTTAAGTTTTTAAAAGAGAAGACAGTGTAATTATATCAAAATTATTAACAAAAGAGGATAGAGGATTCTTAACCTGTGGTTAGGTTATTGTTTTTAGAATAATAATAAATAATGTCTTGATTGTTACACTCGTTATTTTAAGGTATCGGAAATTAGGAAGCTAGACCTCATCAATTAGTGCCAAATGCAAGAGAAACAAAGCAAAGCATGATAAATGCCAATGACGAATGTTATTGTTGAAGTAGCGCGCACACGAACCAAACAAAAAAGAAAAGAAAAAAGAGAGCATGCTAATCAGCGCTACAATTGATCAACATCCATATCAAACATAGCTCTCCATATTCTAAATTTTGAGTCCCAACCAGCTTCATTGTTGTTGGCCTTTTCATTTCTTGCTCTCTATAGTGTCAACCACCCCTTTTCTCTACAAAATTCAATGGCTTCACTGCACAAGTCCCCTGCATTATACTCGTCCGGGTTGTACTTAAATTTGAATCCTAGGTGCAACAGTTTCTTAGACGAGGCTGGGATAGATTTCAAAGATTCATCAATGCCCTCAAACCTGAGTAAAATTCAAAATAAGAAGTTATAGATGTGCTAATAATTCATCAAAGTAGTAGTAGCAGGCTTTTTTTTTTTGTTTTGATTCACATACTTTGTTGGTATGTTGCAATCTGGGTATTTTTGGCTGAGTGATTTGGAGAGTTCAAAAATGGTAAAACAGTGAGAGGAGCAGAGGTATCTTCCTTTGGCTTGAGGATTCTCCAACAGATATATGTGAGCACTACATACATCATCCAAGTGCACCGCCCATCCTCTACTCAGCAGTGGGTAAAGAGCTTCATTTCCTACAATCATAGATTAATTAAGTTTATTATTAAAATTAAAAAAAAAAACTTCAGTTAAAATTGCAAACAAATAAAATCAAATAGTAAATTATTTAAGTTGGATTTGATAATTTAACTAGTAAAATTGTAAACATTATGAGTTGATCTCAAACTAGTTTTTAACAAGCTGAATCCAAGGCAAGCTAAAGTAATTTAGGCCATGTTTGTTTGGGCGGACTGGATTATCATTCCCATGACTAATAGTTCTAGGACTACGAATCCGTTGGATTATGTATCATATCTTAACTAATAGTTAAGTTTAAAATAATTAATCCGTATTTCAATTGCTTAACCAAACATCGGATTAATAATTTTATTGGACTATTAGTCCAATCCCAAGCTCATGTCCACCCAAACAAACATGGCCTTAGTGTTTTTGTAGTCCTATGTGTTCAATTTAGGCCTCGTTTGGGAACATGCTAATTTAGTAACTTTTTGACTATTTGGCTAAAATATGAGCTAAAAAAAACTAGTATGTTTGGGATGACTTTTTGACTAATTACGAAAAGATGTGCAAAAAGTAGAGAGAAAAGAGAATCTTTGACTTTTTGGTATGGGTTGTTGGCTTTTTGGCTAATTTAGTAACTTTTTGACTTTTTGGCTAAAACAGAACCTTTCCAAACGAGGCCTTAGTCTTTATTTAAGTTGGATTTGATAATTTATCTAGTAAAATTGTAAACATTATGAGTTGATCTCAAACTAGTTTTTAATAAGCTGAATCCCAGGAAAGCTAAAGTAATTTAGTGTTTTTGTAGTCTTACGTGTTCAATTTAGTCTTTATTTAAGTTGGATTTGATAATGTAACTAGTAAAATTGTAAACATTATGAGTTGATTTCAAACTAGTTTTTAACAAGCTGAATCCAAGGCAAGCTCAAGTAATTTAGTATTTTTGTAGTCCTACGTGTTCAATTTAGTCTCTATTAAATAGGAATTTGATAGGAGTAGATTAAATATAAATCTAACATTGGATATTATTTCCCCGAAGTAATTGTTCTCAAATTTGAACCCACAACTCCAAAACCGACAACTTGAATTTTAACAACCAAACTAGCAAGGAAAATTTAACTATAAACCCCATTTACCTTCCTTTCATTGTTAAAAGGACTAAGAAAAAAATTATACTTTCTAAACCCCCTCATAATTATAAAGTCTTGCATAAAGGACAAAATTTATTATTTAAATATTTTATCAGATTATTATACTCTTCAACTAGATCTTTCCACCTTCTCCGTCTTTCTCCTTATCCGCTCTACCAAGATCAGCTACAGACATCACAGATTTAACGCCAGGTAGTGGTGGTGGATCTAGATCTGGAACCAACAGATTTAGATCTCACCGTTGAGCAGAAGCAACGACAGATCTGGATTTTCGATTCAGCAGCAAAGGTAACGTTGAAGACGACGACCTCGTTGACAACAGCTTCAATCGCTGTCGGCTTCTCGAGGTTATGTTGTTGCGTACGGCGATGTCGACGTGAAGAATGCTTCGATGGGGGTGAGACTGGAGTTTGAATACGGTTGCGATGCTAATGTGGTGAAAGGTTCGGAGTTTAATGTTATGAAACAGTGAAGAAAACGACAACTGAACTTGTGACGAAAGTTCTATCCCAATACGCAGCATAGAGTCTACGTAGTCTCTGGATTTCTCTACGGCTGTAAGAAGAATAAGAAAATATATGTATATATATATATATATATTTGTGTGTATGAGTGTTGTTGAACACATGTATTCTTTTTATTGAGATTTGTGATTGTTGATCGAGTTTTAGAAGTTTTTCTTCTCAATTAGATATGTTGATTTGTTGATTAATTTGTTTTGTTTTTTTTTTTTATTATTTTTTTTTGTTGTTTTTGATCTAATTTCATTTGATAGAACCAGAGTAATGGTTTTATTGCTCTGTTTTTTGTTTCAGATAATGAAAGTAAAATTTTACTCTGGTTCTATTGCTCTGTTTTTTGTTTGAGAGAATTAGAGTAAAATTTTACTCTGGTGTTAGAATGACAGTAAAATTTTATTGTCAAGAGATGGTCATTGTCAAACACTTCAGCCACCACAAACATTGCCTTCGCTTTTTTACTTTTGTGCAGAGTAACATTTTACTTTTAGCTTCAGAGTCTCATAGTTTACTCATTTTTCAGAGTAAAATTTTACTTTTATACAGAGTAAAATTTTATTTTTGTGTAAAGTCTAACATTTTATTAGTTATACAGAGTAAAATTTTACTTTTAGCTTTAGAGTCTCATAGTTTACTCGTTTTTCAGAGTAAAATTTATTTTTATACAGAGTAAAATTTTATTTTTAGTCTAACATTTTACTAGTTTTTCAGAGTAAAATTTTACTTTTATACAGAATAAAATTTTACTTTTAGTTTCAGAGTGTAACATTTTACTCTTATACAGAGTAAAATTTTACTTTTATACAGAGTAAAATTTTACTCTGAAATACACAGTGAAGATGGCTTAATAGGAGAGCTGATAGATATGAGGGTAATATAGTAAAAGAAACAAGCTTTAAAATATTATGGGGTTTTGAAAGTACTTATATAATTCTTGTTTTATTGAAAGACAAATTAGATAGTGAGAAAGCTATCACCAAATCCCCCAACTAGCAACCTCCTTATATCACAGGTTAAGTTCTAGGTCTAACATACAAATCAACAATGATAAAAATAAAATAAAATAAAATATGTAGATAGATAAAATTCATTATACGTACTAGTGATTAAGGCAAGTGTTATATCGATGCTGACAGGTTTCAAAGGCGTGATAAAAGGCCCTATCACCATAGATGGATGAATGGCGACGAGATCAATTCCATTCTCTTCAGCGAATTTCCATGCAGCTTTCTCTGCCATTGTTTTCGCCACAAAATATGGCTGAAACACAAAAATTAATTTGGATGCAAAAAATTACTTGATTACGTTCTCACTTAACATCATCATTTGGTCAATTTCATGATCTTCGAAGATAAACAGTAATACTATAGCGATTAAAATGAAGATTGAAATTTTTGGTTATACAACATAGAAAAATTTTAAGTGCATAGATTTTGATGACATGACCCAACCAACCCTCTCACATGAGATGGGACTTATATATGCGTATGTCCCACTCTATATAAAAGAATTAAGTTTAATTTTATGATTGAAAACTAAGTACGTAAAAAATTGCACAAGATATATACGCGTACCCATCCAGGTATCTTTTTTTCCTTGCAGAAGTCAACATCGGTCCAAAAACTCTCATCATACTGATCAGGTTCGGGTGGTGGTTGGACGGTAACAGCTCCGGTGGTTGAGGTGCAGATGAGCCTCTTGACAGTTTTGGCCTTGGAGCATGACCTCATGATGTTCAAAACCCCATTTACTGTTGGTTTAATTAGTTCATTCTGCCCACAAAACAAACAAATGCTAGTCATGATCAATATTAGCCAGGCATAGCAAATTACCTTGACAATGTATATATTTAAAAAGAAACCATAGTACAAGTTATACTTCCAACCTATATTCACAATATTATTAAGGCCTCGTTTAAGGCCTCGTTTGGCATGTGAGTGTTTTTGTCTAAGAGTCAAAAAGTTACTAAAAAAATCAAAAAGCTTATAACCTATAATAAAAAGTCAAAGATTCCATTTGCTCTCTACTTTTTGCACATCTTTTCGTAAAAAATTAAAAAGTTATTTCAAACATACTAGTTTTTTTTACCTCATATTTTATTTAAAAAGTTAAAAAGTTACTAAAATAGTCTGCTAATTCATTCTTATATCCTGAATTATTATGCATATCTTATCAAACTCATTATATCTAAGTCTGAATAATCAAACATATTCTATGTCCAATAATTTGTTTGTATGTGTTTGTAGGTGGACTGATGACGGAATTCGATTTTGTTTGAATTGTGTGAACAAAACACACAAGTTTTGATTCTCTCAAAACAATGAAATTTATAGTGTTAGGCAGTGTCAATACACTTTCTGAATAAAAGGCTCATAATTTTATATCAATCAAATTCTGCATTTTGTTCACATAGTCGTGATGAGGATATAGACATATATTGTATAATGCACAATTCAAAATTGTTGTCATGCTTTTTAGTTTATTCAAAGAGCAATGCTACGTGTCATGAAAAAACTTTCATGAAAATGATCATGAAAGATTTATGACCTTTGGATTACACTTAAAATAAAACACCACACACTAATCAAGGTAATTCAAGAGTCATAAATTTTTCATGATCAGTTTCATGAAAGTCTTTTCATGATCCCTATCTTTTCTCTTATTCAAAATACCCCTTAAATTGGTAACTGATAAAATTTCACACACTTTCTGAATAAAAGGCTCATAATTTTATATCAATCAAATTCTGCATTTTGTTCACATAGTCGTGATGAGGATATAGACATATATTGTATAATGCACAATTCAAAATTGTTGTCATGCTTTTTAGTTTATTCAAAATACCCCTTAAATTGGTAACTGATAAAATTTCACATTTAAACACCTTAAAAATTTAGATGTACAATTGCAAACGCATTGTGTTTGCAGCCACACCTATATATATATAAAGCAAATAATACCTCAGGATCGTTGACAGGAAGAACAGGCACATAGGCGGCAACGTGGAAGACTCCATCACATCCTTGAATTGCATCATCAAAACTTCCCTCCTCCAATAGATCTGCCTTCCACAGGGTTAGGTGTGTTCCAGCTTTCGGCAAGTCTAGAAGATAACTCACCTTGCTTTTGTTATCTGCAAACACCAATTAATTTTACACATATAGTTTTGAAGAGTTGTTGAAATTGTTAAAAAGTAAAGGAAACAGAGAAATTAAAGGAGGTGAGGAAGTGAAGGAGACCAGGATCGCGAACAGTGGCTCGAACATGATAGCCGAGTTGAAGAAGTCTCATCACAAGCCATGATGCTATGAACCCTGAAGCCCCTGTCACACACACTGTTCTTCCACTTCCACCATGCTCTCCTCCTTCCATGTCTTTGAGAGGACAATTGATGACTGACTTTAATATTCCCTATTGATAGATAACCAAACACAGAGAATAGATGATGACTTGAATGCCTCAATACAGGAGAGACTACATATATAATGATGTTTCCATTATTAAATGGGAAAAGTCGACCACCATTTAATAGATGTTAATCAAAGTTGATGCAGAAGAATTGATCCCGAGGGGACTCTGGTCCCTATAATAATTTCATGAAAACAGCATGCATTAGTTATTAATTATCTTCAAATTATATAATTTTGCTCCTCCTAATTTATTTAATATTTAAAGTTTAACGAGTCCTCTATAAATTAAAAAATAAAATAAAATTAAGCAAGCCACTCTCCTATATATTCATGAAACATAAGAATCAAATAATGAAATTAAAAAATTCCAACAAAAGAAACCAAAATTTAATAGATGTTAATCAAAGTTGATGATGTAGAAGAATTGGCCCCAAGGGCCTATAATAATTTCATGAAAATAGCATGCATTAGTTATTAATTATCTTCAAATTATATAATTTTGCTCCTCCTAATTTATTTAATATTTAAAGTTTAACGAGTCCTCTATAAATTAAACAATAAAATAAAATTAAGCAAGTCGCTCTCCTATATATTCACGAAACATAAGAATCAAATAACTAAATTAAAAAATTCCAACAAAAGAAACCACCATTTAATAGATGTTAATCAAAGTTGATGATGTAGAAGAATTGACCCCAAGGAGACTATGGTCCCCTATAATAATTTCATGAAAATAGCATGTATTAGTTATTAATTATCTTCAAATTATATAATTTTGCTCCTCCTAATTTATTTAATGTTTAAAGTTTAACGAGTCCTCTATAAATTAAAAAATAAAATAAAATTATGCAAGTCGCTCTCCTATATATTCATGAAACATAAGAATCAAATAATGAAATTAAAAAATTCCAACAAAAGAAACCACCATTTAATAGATGTTAATCAAAGTTGATGATGTAGAAGAATTGACCCCAAGGAGACTATGGTCCCCTATAATAATTTCATGAAAATAGCATGTATTAGTTATTAATTATCTTCAAATTATATAATTTTGCTCCTCCTAATTCATTTAATATTTAAAGTTTAACGAGTCCTCTATAAATTAAAAAATAAAATAAAACTAAGCAAGTCGCTCTCCTATATATTCATGAAACATAAGAATCAAATAATGAAATTAAAAAATTCCAACAAAAGAAACCACCATTTAATAGATATTAATCAAAGTTGATGATGTAGAAGAATTGACCCCAAGGGGACTATAATAATTTCATGAAAATAGCATGTATTAGTTATTAATTATCTTCAAATTATATAATTTTGCTCCTCCTAATTTATTTAATATTTAAAGTTTAATGAGTCCTCTATAAATTAAAAAATAAAATAAAATTAAGCAAGTCACTCTCCTATATATTCATGAAACATAAGAATCAAATAATGAAATTAAAAAATTCCAACAAAAGAAATTGATTAATTGATTTCTCATAACTATTATCAATTACAAGCCCTAATCTACATATAAGAGAAGAAGATAGAAAAGTCAACAAATTAATTGATTACATTTATTAAGAAAGATATTGTTTGAAATTTTAATATTGATTTAATCATATGTATACTTTTAATGTCTTCAAAGAGTGTCGATCACAATTTTAGATATATTATTTCACACCTGCTATCTTTTATAACTCAACATAGATATTATAATTGTATTAACGATAAATAATTTTCAAATTATATTGATTCATCCTTTCAAAGTTTTTCCAAATATTTAACTAGTCGTCCTCTAGGTAGATTTAAAAAATGAACGAATTCAATCATTAAAATGGACCCATAATTCCGAACAGGATCATCCAATCCTTTTTACTGAAAACAATTTTCATTCTTTTATATTGTCTTTTATCTTTTAAAATACTAATCTATAGATTATGAGTTCTATTATTTAGACTAATAAACTTTTGAGGAGCAAATAATTTCTCCATTTAAAATCTAAGTGACATCAATAGTGACAGCTACAAGGTGAGAACAGTTATGGAGAGAGTGAGAGCTAATGATGTCTACATTATTCAAATTCATCTATCTTCACGCTTAAGTTTCTAAGGGTTTGACTTCTTTCAAGTTAGCTATCTCAACTTAAAAGAGCGTTTAGATTTTATAAGTTCATTTTGGAAAGGATTTCGATGATTTGGACCGTTCATTTGTTAGGACTCATTGAGTAAAATATTCATGTAAAAAATCAAGATGATCGGATATCGATAGCTATATGTTTTAATCAAATTTGTATTACAAAAAATGGATGGTCATTATTGAAATATATTTGTCGACCATTTTTTTACAACCAATATGATTCAAACATATAACTATCGATGTCTGATTATTTTGATTTTTTACATGAATATTTTACTTAATGAGTCATAATAAATGAATTGTTCAGATCATCGAAATCAGTTTCAAAATGAACTTACCAAGTCCAAAGGCTCTCTCAAGTTGAGATAGCCAACTTGAGAGAAGTCAAACCCTAATACCTGTTAGAAATGGTTGGAAAATTCTGGGTAAAATCAGAATTTTTTTCTAAGTTTGGTCGTGGGACCCGTGCGTCGATTTTCGTGTGTCAAAGTGGTAACGCGTTCTATGCCCGTTGTGATTCACGTGGTATATTTGGTTGCTCAAAACCATTATCGAGTGAATGAAAAATTGAAGCCAAAGTGAGCTCCATGGAAATGGAGTTTTGGTGGAAATTCCTTAAGGTTGGAAAATGGCTTGTCCCATATTGATTTGGTGGGAAGTTTTGAATGGGTTTATAAGGCATGGGATTGGAACTTGGGGTGTGCCCTAAGAGGTAACCAAGCTTTGTAGAGAGTGAGGTGTAGACACCCCATTTTCGACCGACTTTAAGACTCAGACGTCATCGATTGAGCGCTCGGTGATAGTGCATGTTGTGCTCGTTCTGAGGTTTTGGAGTTTTGGCTGAGAACCTTACCCCCGAACCTCGGGACCCTTTTATGCTTTGTCTCGGTTTGCGAATCAGGTTCTGTTTTCTCTTCCCGAAGGGAGGGAGAGGTCTCGTAGACCATCTCTCAGTGGCCGTAGACTACTTTTCGTGGTCGTAGACCACTGTTCCCATTTGGAGACCAGTTTCTGATTTTCGGAGCCGTCGGCCGTGTGCCTTGGTTCGGGTTCTCTGTTTGCTCCGGTTTTTGGCACACACCTTATTTCCTCTCTCTAAAGGGACACTGTGGCCCGGGAGACCACCTTCGTGGTCGCACGCCATTTTCGATGCTTAATAGTCATTTTTCGAGGCACCCGGTTGCGCGTTTTGGCCCCCGAACCCTCGTTTTGCATCGGTGTGGGTTCATTTTTGGCATGAACCCTAGTTTCATTGTTAGGAAGGTAGTACCAGGGTGGGAGACCACCTTTCTCTTCGCCGGCCGATTTTCTTGTTAGAGAGCTGGCCTCCCTCACTTTTGGGCTACAATTGCTGGTCTCCCATACCATCACTGAGTTGCTTTCACCTGGGAGACCACCAATCAGGGCTGCCGACCAGCTTTTTATGATTAACCCTTTTGAACCTGGTCGGCCGACCAGGGCAAAGGGTCGGCCGACCACCTGAACTGGTCGGCCAGCTTTCTCTTTTTTTGTCTCACTGAGTGCTATCCAGCTGTGCTAGCTGTGAGGCATTTGCTCCATCCTCCATACACGTGCATGGAGGATTAACCCTCTTGTTTTAGCTTCTTAAAAAAGTTAGACCCTTTGCTCTAAGCTTCTTAGAGAAGCTTGACCTTTTCTTAGCTTCTTGAGGAAGCTTGACCCCTTTGGTCTAGCTTCCTCAAGGGTCTAGCTTCCTCAAGAAGCTTGACCCTTTTGGTTTAGCTTCCTTAAGAAGCTTGGCCCCTTTGCTCCAAGCTTCTAAGAGAAGCCTTGGACCTCTTCTTCTATAAGAGAGACCCTCCTCTCCACTTGTAAGGGTTGAAAATTTTTGGCTAAGACATATACATACACCTCTCTCTATCTCTCTACATCCAAGCTCCAAAGCTCCATTGTTCTTGCACCATTGCACTACACCTCCTATCCTAACACTGTAGACGTCCCCCGAACGCCCTGGGGAGGAACGAGTCCCCCCCGTTCTGTTCGATATTTAGGCTCACTACAGTTCAGGACTCTCAATTTGTCACGGTTCTAAATTTGAACCAAAGAGTCCAAATCCGGTATTTAGCCTCTATTTTGCAATAATTTTTTGGAAAGCGCACCAAGCCCCGGAAGACTGTTGATTTTTGATTTGCTGTAACAGAGAGTAGGAAAGGGGCATGGCAAAGTATTTTCACATATGTGTGCTTGACTACTCTTCAAGGAGTGTAGTCCTCGATCCTCGTGCCACCAATCACGCATCTCGATGCATGATGGCCGAGGAGTCGAATTGCATGGCTTAATATGAAATGAATGCACACATAAACACAACAAGGCCTAGACTCCATCATGGACAATCCGAAGTGTTGGCGACCAGGAATTGAGATACGTTCCGTTACTCAGAGTACGAAACATACCTCGTTTTCCGTGCTTGGGCTAACTCCTATCCCAAACACAATGCAATATGCATGACATGCATGAATGCAACTAATATACAACCTAGCATGCATAATGCTATGGAATGGCATACACGATGCACGAGGTGACATGGCATACACAATGCGCTAACATACAACCTAGCATACACAATGCTATGAAATGAAATGGCATACACAATGCAATATGGGCTTACACCAACATGAGTGGACCTCAGCCACACTCATGAGCGCTTGGTGATGTTGCATATCGTGCTCGTGTCAGAAGTTTCAGAGTCTCGGCTGCGAGCCTTGCCTCCGGACTTCCGGACTCTTTCATGCTTTGCCTCGGTGCGAACCAGGCTTTGTTTTCTCTGTTTTCTCTTCTCGAAGGGAGGGAGAGGTCTCGTAGATCATCTCTCAGTGCCATAGGCTACGTTTCGTGGTCGTAGGCCATTTGCCCCGTTTGGAAGTCTGTTTCCGATTTTTCGGAGCCGTTGTCGTGTGCCTCGTTCAGGACCGCTAACCACCTCCGTTTGCTCCGTTTTTGGCATGCATCTTATTTGCTCCCTTTTGAGGGACACTGTGGCTCGAAAAACCAACTTTGTGGTCGAACACCACTTTCGGTGCTAACAGTCAGTTTTTGGGGCCTCGGGCTGC